TCTCCGATAGACGGAGATCAGCATTTTGTCCCCCGTATTCCTTCTTGAACAGCGTGGCATAAGGGAAAGCAGTCTTAGAAATCAGCCTACATTTTAATCCCTCCTCTCCTTCTTAATGGCTTTGGGCAATTAACCTTTCTGAGCTACATCAGTAAGATAAGGGTAATAGCCACATCCTACAGGTGTGGAAATTAAAGGACGAGATTGACACACAGAAGGCCCTCAAATGTATTCTCCTAACTCAATTTTAAACCCCTGCAATGTAACTTCTGCTCTAACTTCTAATGAAACAAGCTATTTCAAAGGTCACTAATGACCCATAATCACCAAATCCAATGATCTGTTCTAATGCTTCCATCTGTGTCCAAAAAGGAAACCAATGACTCGTGTGTGTGTGAGAGAGAGAGAGAGAAAGGGAGGGAGGGAGGGAGAGAGAGAGGTTGATTTTCTCCTTGACCAAACTCCAGCCAGGCTCCTGTGAGCCCTTTCTTCACTAAGCCTTACCCTGGCCTATAAAGACTTAAACATAGGGGCGCCTGGGTGGCTCAGTTGGTTGGGCGACTGCCTTCGGCTCAGGTCATGATCCTGGAGTCCCTGGATCGAGTCCCGCATCGGGCTCCCTGCAGCGAGGAGTCTGCTTCTCCCTCTGACCCTCCCCCACTCTCATGTGCTCTCTCTCTCAAATAAATAAATAAAATCTTTAAAAAAAAAAAAAGACTTAAACATAGATTCTAACAGATCCATCCCTAAGGTGACCCTAGCCCTGCCTTAAAGAATCTGCCTGCGAAAACTCAAAGCTGCCAACAGAATTTACCATTGGAACCCTGAAGATAGGGTTTCTGTCTTCCAGCCTCTGTGGGAGGGTAGGGGCCTAACTTCCACAAGCTCCAATTAACAAACCCAGATGGGTGTTACATGGACCAATCCCTCCTCCTTCCAGCTTTTTGTCATTTTTCACTTCCTGACTCTGAGCCCGACCCACCCTGTTCTGTCATTCTCCCTTTAAAACTCCAGTCCCCTCCGTATAAATCAAAGTTGAGTTCAGTTCATGTGGGACTCTATTTTCTACTGCAATAGTATACTGCTGATTAAAATCTGTCCTGACCACTTTACCTGGTGTGGGGCATTATCTTTACACACACACACACACACACAAGGCAAGCGTAGGCTGGGCAGGCACAGATCTCTGTTCCACTTGGGGTCATCTGGGACAGCTCCAAGACTGGGGACTTGAATGAGCAGAAGGCTCTCCCACTCACAAGCCCAGCATTTGCAGGTGGCTGTCAGCTTCAACATCTCCATGGGGCTTCTTCATGTTGCCTGGGCTTCCTCAAAACATGGCTGCTGGGTGCCAAGGGATGTCCTTGTTAGTGACCCAGCATCACTTTTAGTGCATTATATTGATAGAGGCAGCCACAAAATCCTGCTCAATCTCAAGAGAGAAGGAAAACAGACTCTACCTCTAGGTGAAGTTGTGGCAAGGTTCTGGAGCAAAATACTGCTCTTTGGGAAAACACAATTTGCCATAGTTAATAACCTCCCATCCTATGACTTCATTCTTACCTCACTCTACTTTGTATTAGTCATTTTTATACTTGTTTAAGCTCCCCTATCCATAAACTTCTAGATGGCAAAAACTTAATTTTTGAATCTCAATTTTGTCATCTATGGTGACTTGCAAATTGTTGGCTTACACACAGTTTTGGCCCTAGGCTGTGAGCTAGTTTCATGAATATAATATCCTTTCAATAAAGATGCAATAAGTTGAAAGCCTAATTGACAGAAGAAGAGTTGCCTCCATTTCTCTTTACTTCCTATTTCTGGGACAGCTCCATGTTTCAGGTAAAAGAGCCTGAGAATAAGCTCTGACACGTTAGGTAACGGCTGTGAATTATCCTTCCAACATTCTTCAGTCTTCCTACTACTACATGCTACCCAGGACTTGTCCTTGTGTGACTACAAGATGCCAATTAATCTACATCAGGACTATCACTCTACCTCGACCTCCCACAGTGTTTTAGCACATCCAACAAGAACATTTCTCTCTATGTGTAAAATGCTTTGTCATCTCAAATAGATTGTTAGTCCTTTGAGGACAAAGGGCATTTTCTGTTTTACTCCCATGTATTTCTAACGTCCAGAACAATGCCATATATGCAGTAAGTGTCCAATAAACTACTGGGGAGATACCATCCTACTCTTATAGGGTCATTTCTCACTTTCATTCAATTACAGTTGATTCTGCATATGAATCAGAGAAGAACAGGGAAGCAACACTAAAGTAACATACTTTTATTAAAAGTTTTCTAAGATCGGGGAGCCTGGGTGGCTCAGTCAGTGAAGCATCTGCCTTCGGCTCAGGTCATGATCCCAGCGTCCTGGAATCAAGTCCCACATGGGGCTCCCTGCTCAGCAGGGTGTTGGCTTCTCCCTCTGCCCGCTCCTCTGCCTACTTGTGCACTTGCTCTCTCTCTCTCTCTCTGTCAAATCAATAAACAAAATCTTTAACAAAAAGAAAAAAACAAAGTTTTCTAAGATTAACTGATTTTGCAAACGGCAATGGGGAAATAACAGTCTGCTTTAGACTGCGTAGTCAGATTTAAATACAAACATGACAATGAGTTACTACTCCCATTGAATAATTTAGTTGTTTGTTTGTATAAAAGTAGGTTGTAAATATTGAGGATTTAAAAACATTTTGTCCAGATTTCCCCCAAATACGATGGCTTTAGCCTGAAACTTAGGAGAAGCTGAAGATGAAAAGCAAATATCCAAGTACATCCAAGGGAAATGGAGGTGAAGCTTCTGGAACCTCAAGATCCAAAAGTCTTGATTCTTATCTGTGACTTCCTTCCTGTGGAACCTCTAATTTCTTTAAACTGCATTTCCTCAATTTTGTAAAATAGATACTATTTCTATTGTCAGTCAAGGAATTTTTAAAAAATAAAACTTCAGAGGTAATACAGTCAGGCTAAAAGAAGTTATGCTTTAGAATATTTTCTAAATAGCATGCATACAGAAAACTGGTTCTTAAGGAAGAAAATTTTATTTTACTAAGAATACGTCACTTTAGACAAAATCAACATTGTTTTCCATGGTTGTTAATACTTCTCTTCAACGAATACCCAATTTGAGCTCTATTCTTCATTGAATATGAAATTAGCATAGATAGATATAAACAGGATACAAATATCACATTATCAAATTTCTCAGAGGAATACAGTAAGTATTTTTATTTTACTTTGCTATGATATTTTTATCCCCTACTTTATTACGGGAGTATTTGATTTGGTCCCTTCCTACAAAGTAATTCAAAATGCTGACCCATGTTGCAATAGTGATTGAGAGTAAGAAGGTTAAAATACAGAAGACAAATTTTTTTTTTAGAAGACACATTTCATGGCTCATGGTGGAGAATATATAAGATACCAGAGATATTCAGAGAAATCTAAACTTTAAAAAAAAAAAAAAAACCCTAGTTTTCCATCTCATTTTGTGCTTAGACTTTGAAATTTTTAACTCAAGAAGCCAAGAGATCTGAAAAAAATGACAGGGCTTTCCTGTTTTTCTAGTTCAGTATACAACACTGATAACCGTTTTCATTAAATAGACCTTTGTAATTGTATCGACTTACTTGCATGGCCCCAAGTTACTTGATTTATAAGGCTTGACACAGGAAGGAAGCATTAAGGTGCATAGGAATAAAAGGGCTGTGAATATTACAGAAATATTAAATCAATACACTAATGCATACATTTAAGATGTGAATCACGAATCTCCTCCTGTGGCCCGAACAACCTACATGTTGATTTTGAAAGATGTCACCAGTTGCCAGGAAAAATGGAGAGGCCATTCCAGTGCTCCGCCACTTCTCCATTACTTCTGAGAAAAACTGTCGTGGCACCAGAATGGTAGATGGCCGAGCCTCTGCAGCACCAAGTCATGGAAAGCTACATACACAGATTGCTGCTGTTTAGTTATGCTTCCATGAAGTTTCAGAAGTAATGCAGTGGGTTGGTGATCTCCATAAACCCCCAAGAACCTGGTGCTGGAAAGTTTCCAGTAAACACCACGAATGAACAACATCACTTCATCATACCTTTTAGCCGCAAGACGGACTAACCAGGAGCTGAAATCCCCATGTCAGATACCGAAAGTCAATTAAAAATATTAAGATATCATTGCAATAACAATTTAGGGGGAAAAAAGATACTATGACAAAGCAGACCACAAATCAATTTCACTGTAGCTAAAGCTCCTTAATAATACTATGCCAAAAGATTGTACATCCAGAGTCGTCTGTAATGGGGTGGATATTTAAGGACAATGGGTGAAAACAACTCTCTTGAAGAACATGCATCAGGACTAGTATGGCTCTGCTACAGCGTTTGCTGAAACATTTTCCACGGTGGCTGGGAAGCAGCACCTGAGATCACATAAAATGAAAATATTGGTAGTCACAGGACTTTGAATAAAGAACTGCAAAATTAATGAAAATGACATGCATCAGGCAAATTGAGAAGTAATGTCGAGGTGATCTGTATGTAAGTTCTGTAAGTTCTGTAAATTCAAACTAAAGAATCTTTCCTGGGCACATATAGTTAATGAGAAAATGTACTCCGACGAAGTCTGGATAAGGCACTAGCTCTCCAACTCACTCAGATCTAAGCAAAACTTAACACTGTTGTACGTTTAAGGATAAAGGTGACTCGTCAGATTCATGGATTGATGGATAATTCCCTTGGCTATTCTGCGTATTCCGATTAAACTGCCTCATCAATCCCAACGAGGAACACAGACTTTTCATGTCACCTAACGGAAGAAGACAGTAGAGGAGCCGGCTTTTCTTTTCATGGTTGTTTTCTTTTTTTCTTTTTTTAAAGATTTTCATTTATTTATTTAACAGAGATAGACAGAGAGCACAAGTAGGCAGAGCGGCAGACAGAGGGGGAGGGAGAACCAGGCTCTCTGCCGAGCAGGGAGCCCGATGCGGGGCTCGATCCCAGGACCCTGGGATCATGACCTGAGCTGAAGGCAGCCGCTTAACCGACTGAGCCACCCAGGCGCCCCTCATGGTTGTTTTCTTAAAAGGAAGTAATGCTGGTTCAAAGGACACCATCAAGCAAAGGTCTTGGTGAGGACATCTTCATGCTGCTGCAGATGAAGGGTGCCAATTCCTACAGCAGGGGCTGACAGAGGGGGTCGGCTCACAAGACGGAGCTATGATTAGAGCAGAAAAGAAATAAAATGACCTTTTGACCTGATCAGAGCCCTGCTTTATTCTCCCGAGGCAGTGCATGCATTTCTCTTAGCTTGTTTAACCACAAATCACCTTTCTGGAAAAATAACGGGTTACCTAGAATAGACTGGAAGGAGATATTTGTCACAACTAAAAACTAAATTCCAGGCACCATAAAGGGAGATCAATGCTTGAATCTGTCCTATTCTTCAGTAACTATTAGTTGATTTCAGCAGTAGAGTTTCCTAAAGTAGAACAAATGAAAATGATTTGATCCAGCAAACTAGTAACAAATGTGTGAACTGCGTTCTAATCAAAGCAAAATAGGAAGATAAACAGAAGCCCATTTGCTCTTCTCATTGTTCTTCCCTCCTGACAGTATAATCAGGAGGAATGTGGCCTTTGATGGACTATGTGCATGAGCTTTGTGCATGAGCCTCAAAGAAGCGTTAGTGGGCACCTCTTCTCCCATATTGTAAAACAAGCCTGCTCGTCACCCTGCTCCCCAGGGCTTGGATTGTGACCTTTAGGACAAGACTAGTGGGAAAGAGAGCTGACAGGTAAGGGCTTTTACTTTAAGTATAATCACTTTTTCTTACATGATACTAGCACATGCACATATATATCTTGATAAACATTCAGCATTTTATTCCGAAAAAATAGCGTAAGTTAGATTTTATAGTTTAGTTTATCTTTAAAAGAATTGGACTGCTACTAGGGGAGAAAGCCATTTATTGGCATGCCAGGAGAAATAACACACATACACAAAACACTATAAGAGAGAAAGCTATTACCTTGCAGGCCAGTTGCTTTTCAAACCTTGGAGAAACAAAGCACCATGGACCCATGTTCTGAGGCTCCTCCTGACTCCAAATAAAATCTATAGCAGAAGAAATTTCATTTCAGTACTCCAGGTAAACCTACAATACACACACACTATATATATACAGTATATATGTACATACACAGACACATTATAGCCATATGTACACACATAGGTACATAGTGTATATGTATGTATAGGTCTCTTCAAGTAAATATATGACTTTCCAATATGGCATGGTGTTGCTTTTTTTTTTTTTTTGACAAATGATAGTCATGTATCCAGCACCTCATTCATGATACAGAACAATTGTATCGACCCCCAAAATTCCCTCATCCTGGCCCTTTCAAGGCAACTTTCCTCCAGCCCCAACCTCTGGCAACCACTGAGGTTTTCTCTCTCCCTATAGTTTTGCCTTTTCCAGAATGTCAGATAAATGGAATTATATGATATGGAGCCTTTGGTTCTGGCTCCCTTGAACTAGCAAAATCCCAAAGGGGGTCCCAAAGCCATAGTTCACTCTCTTTTATTGTTGAATAGTATGCTATTGTAAGGATGTACCCTACATCCTTGTTTATTCATCCACAGGTTGAAGGACATCCTGGTGGCTTCCAGTTTGGGGCAGTTATGAATGAAGCTGCTGTAGACATTTTTCTGTGAACATGTCATTTCCCTTGGGTAAATACCTCGAGTAGACTGGCAACTCTCTGTTGGAACTGACAGACTGTTTTCCAGAGTGGCTGTACCACTTTCCATTTCCTCCTGCAGTGAAGGAGGCTTCCAACTGCTCTGCTTCCTCATCAGCTCTTGATATCGCCAACTTATTGTTTTGTTTTCATTTTAGCCATTCTAATAGGTGTGCAGCCATATCTCATTTTGGTTTCAATTGCATTTCCCTTATCACTACGGGATAAGATGTTGAGCATCTTGTCATATAGTTTTTTGTCATACCATTCTTTGGCTCAAATCTTTTGCCTAACCAAAGGTCATGAAGATTTTCTCCTTTTTCTCCCAGACATTTTAGAGTTTTATGTTTTACATTTAGGTCTGTGATCTTGAGTTAATGTCTGTACCCAGGGCAGTCTGTACCCACATGTTGAAAAGGCTTGCCTTTTACAGTTACATCGATCTATCCTAGACAATAGTATAGCACTGGTTACCTCCAACCTCTCAAGAAATGACAGGTCTTAAAGTGAGAGAAGGGGGGTGGGGCACAGAAAGGGACACCAGAAAAGACAAGGAAACATTGGCTCTAGCATGATTTTTTTTTTTCATATTTCCAGATTCCAAAAGATTCAGTCTCCTAAGGACCCTCACTGCCCCTGGAACCTCTTTTGATATGAGACATTGGAACAGGTTTCAGGTATCTAAAACCCAAAGAACCCCACCAAGAACAACGCTGTACCTTTAACATGTTTGTATTTGCTCATCTCTTGCTGTAACAAATCCAGTGGGAAAGGACAGAGTTCCTCTAACCGGATGATGGCAAAGTCATGCTTTTTGGCCTCCAAGGATTCTCTTTGCTTCAGCAGGGCGTAGAAATGTTTGCCACAGCAGAACACTAGACTCTTGACCCTGTTGGGTAGAATGGAGTGAAGGAGAAATATCTGAAAGAATTGTATCAAAAGAAAGAGGAGACTGTGTAGATGAAAATGCTTCATTACAGAAGCAGGGAGGGGCTCTGCAGTTGGGTTCAGAAACATGCTTTGCCCTGACAAGCCTTCTTCAGCAACACATGCCTCCAAAGCTCAATCTTCCACGCATACTCTAACTTCTGCCCCGTGGATGCAAAGGACTTCTATCAGGATAGAGGAGATGTGGGTCACTTTGGGTTCCTTAACATGAAGTAGGTTTCCCACTAATTAAAATTCTACTGCAGAGTATGAAAACAGATACACATCAAGTTACTTTTTGGGATCCACAGATGAATCGCCAATGACCGGCTTGAATGTTGTTCCTGGTGCCATTTCTTGAAGAGTTGACACAGCTGCCTAAGGAGGGGGAAAAAGCCACAAATCTATCAACCAAAGAAAGGAGCTGAAGATGGCTTGACTTTTAAGGGGTCTTTACCAAGAAATAACATCAAACTTTCCTCCTAGGACCGTAAGTAAACATATGTACTGATAAACACAATATCTTTCAAAAAAATGCCAATTGTGTGTATTTCGGAATAAAATTATTTTTTCAAGATTACGTAAGATTGCCTTTCGTCTGACGCTGCAACAAAATTTTAAGAATCAAAATTTCAGTTTGATCCCACTTTAGTCTCAATAAAAATATGCTTTCATCTGTTGGAGTCAGAAATGACATTTGTGAACAAAAACAGCTAAACTAGGACAAGGATTTCTGTCTTTAGGATTCTGACTATAATTTATAAGTGAAACCTAACAAGTCAGAACAAGCAAGAACAATACATGAATATTTCTGTGATGAAAAGAAATTTTATTCATGAGCTCAATTTAAGTAAGTACTTGTCTCAAAGAACTTAGCATAGACAACTCTAATACATTTCCCTATAGTCTAGTCCCAAATGGGAATACATTTTGACTGGTCTACTGATAGGTAGCCATGCTGATGTGGGATACTGTGATATAATTTAAAAAATTAATATTAGGGGCACCTGGGTGGCTCAGTCGTTTAGCGTCTGCCTTCAGCTCAGGTCATGATCCCAGGGTCCTGGGATCGAGCCCCCCATCAGGCTCCCTGCTCTGCAGGAAGCCTGCTTCTCCCTCTCCCACTCCCCCTGCTTGTGTCCCCTCTCTCGCTGTGTCTCTGTCTGTCAAATGAATAAATAAAATCTTTTTTAAAAAATTATTAACTAAAAGAATGAAATAAAAATATGTACTTTATATATTATCTATTGTATATATAATAATCTATTATATATAGATATATATTTATTTTATATCATATATATTTATTTTATTCTTATTTTTTATTTATTCTTATTGCTAAATAATGAATGATAGAAGCCATCTTTCTCCATCCTGAACCCTTGGTCAGCTCCCACTTCCTAGGGCAGGAATCAAAGGGAGCTGGAGGGGCGCCTGGTTGGCTCAGTCAGTGCAGCAAGTGACTCTTGATCTTAGGGCCATGAGTTCAAGCCCCACATGGGTGCATAGAGCTTACTAAGAAGAAAAAAAGAAAAAAGGGAATTGGAGTTCAGAGCTGGGTGGAAAATTTCGGTAGAATTTAGGTACCACTTGTCAGGCAAACTCCTGAGTCATGTTTGTCACATGGCAAGCCATCTCTGAATATGCATGGAGAGGGTGGACTTCTGTTCTGCTAGATCACTTGTACCAATAATCTAATTTTCAGTAAGAAATCAGACTTCAATAATGGTGGTACTCACAGTTAATAAAAGGACTTACATGTTTAATGAAGATAGTCAGCTACTTAATAAGAGTAGTTTTTCACTTGAAAACCTATAGGATAGCTGTTGTTATTTTTTGGGGGGGACAGGAGGGGAGAATCTTAAGCTCCATGCTCAGTGCGGAGCCTGATGCGGGGCTTCATCTGACGATCCTGAGATCATGACCTGAGCCAAAATCTAGAGTCGTACACTTACCTGTCAGAGCCACCCAGGTGCCCCAGCTGTTGATATTTTTAAGGTTCCAAAGCAAGGCCTCACTTATTTGGTATTTTATATATATTAGACATGGGGAGAGGAGTGGACTATTGGGGCCAGAATGTGAACTCTTATTCTCATTAGAAACAGCAAAAAAATTCTCAATAAAATTTCCAATTGTTCACTCAGTACTTAGTTATACATATATATATATTACATTTAATATGATTATACTCCTTTATAGTAACGATTGAGGGAGCAGGTGACACCCTTAGGGGTACAATGAAAGTTGGGTCAAGAATCCCAAACGTACATATTTCTTAGAAATAAATGATAGTAATTTGCATTATGACTTAGCCCCTTTCACACTGCAGTTTCAAAATATCTCTGTCAAAAGAGCCCCATCAGAAAGACTGTGTTAAAGGGATTGCATTAATTTTTCCTGAATGTCCTGTGATGCTGCTGGACCCCCATCTCAAAATGTGCATGGTGGGCTCGAGGAACAGTCGGTGGAGCAAGTGAGAATGAGGAGATGAAACCCGTGAATCCTGCCATGGGTGAGAGAACGGGCAGTGCCTTGCCCCAGTACGGGCTCCCAGAGTCGGCAGCAGGGAGAGGCAGTGGAGAAGCACGGAGGGCAGGATTTAAGGAGGCACCCACTCTGGGCTCAGGCAGGTGCTGACCGCCGGTAGACGCAACTCACTCACCGCTTTCAACACCCCTTGATTCCAAATATACATTCTCAAACCTTGGTGAGAAGCACAAGGAAGTCTTGAAGAGCCAAATCCTGAATGACTTATTTCACCTCATTTGCCTAGCATCCAAATAAGTGCAAAGGTTTTTTGAATGTTAATCCTAATTAAGATTCTCATATAAAACTGGAAAAAATTCTCGCCAATGGGATAAATATATGCTTAGTGATATTTATTATCTTGAACTCTGCGTATTTTTGTGATTTTAAAAAACATATTGTGGGGCGCTTGGGTGGCTCAGTCGGTTAAGCGTCCGACTCTTGATTTCGGCTCAGGTCATGATCTCAGGGTGGTGAGATCGAGCCCCATGTCTGTCTCTGCGCTGAGTGTGGAGCCTGCTTAGGATTCTCTCTCTCCCTTTCCCTCTGCTCTTCCCCCTCCTGCTCGTGTGTGCATCCTCACTCTCTCGCTCTCTCTCTCCCCCACTCTCAAAAAAATAAAAATAAAAATAAATTAAAAATAAAATAAAAAACATACTGTGTGCTTAACACTTAGTTCAGGTGAACCAAGATAAAATGTACCGTTTAAAAAAATATTTTATTTATTTATTTGAGAGAGAGCAGGAGAGAGAGAAAATACATACCCTTTTAAATGTTACAGCAATAAGCTATACTGTCATAATGTTTGAAACAGGAGTCTACCCACAGGTAAATCATTTAACAAAAAAAACTCAGTAAAAGCCAATGAATATCACCCTGGTTTTCATCAAAATACTTAGAATTCCCAACTTGCTACTGTCAATATAGTACATTAGACCTGGTTTTCTCTGGTTTTGCTTTCAACAGTTTGTGTTACCCACAGTCAACCTAGGTCCAGAAACAGATGATCTTCCTCCTGACATATGGTCAGAAGGTCACTAGTAGCCTCACGCTATGTCACAATGCCTACATCATTCACCTACTTCATCTCATTGCATAGGCATTTTATCATCTCGCTCCATCACAAGAAGAAGGGTAAGTACAGCACAACAAGGTATTTTTAAAAAAGACCATATTCACATAACCTCTATTACAATATATTGTCATGATTGTTATATTTTATTATTAGTTCTTGTTAAGCTCTTACTGTGCCCAATTAAGAATTAAACTTTATTATAGGTATGTAGGTATAGGAAAAGACATGGTGAATGCAGGGTTTAGTACTATCTGCGACCTCAGGCATCCAATGGGAGTCTTAGAATGTATTCCCCACAAATAAGGGAAGGATATTGATGCTTCCACTATTTGCACTTTAAAACTTTTTCTAAAAAATTATTTCTGCTCACAGTGAGACCGAATGCTCCCTATATCCAAGTTATTCCGGAAAGATTTTTTTTTAAAAGAGAGAAAGCAGTGAGGCCAATTAAAACTAAAAGGATATTTCTGTTTAAATATAATTAGACACAAGGAGAGGTTGGGAGGGGGATAGGTGAAACAGGTGATGGGGATTAAGGAGTGCACATCTCAGATGAGCACCGAGTGATGTATGGAAGTGCTCAATCACCATATTGTACACCTGAAACTCATGTAACATTGTATGTTAACTGGAATTAAAATTTAAATTTAAAAAGCCAATAAAATTTAAATAAATAAATAAAATTAGACACAGGAAAGAGAGGAAAGTATGTACAAAAATGACAAAAGGACATTACAGACCAATATCCCTGATGAACATGGAGGCAAAAATTCTCAACAAGATACTAGCTAATTGGATCCAACTGTACATTAAAAGGATTATTCACCACGATCAGGTGGGATTTATTTCTGGGCTGCAGGGGTGGTTCAATATCTGCAAATCAATCAACTGATATACTACATTAATAAAAGAAAGGATAAGAACCATACAATCCTCTTAATAGACGCAGAAAAAGCATTTGGCAAAATACAGCATCCTTTCTTGATAAAAACCCTCGACAAAGTAGGAATAGAGGGAACACACCAACATCATAAAGGCCATGTTGGAAGACCCACAGCAAATATCATTCTCAATGGGGAAAATCTGAGACCTTTTCCCCTAAGGTCAGGAACACAACAGGGATGTCCACTCTCACCACTGTTGTTCAACACAGTACTGGAAGCCCTAGCCTCAGCAATCAGACAACAAAATGAAATAAAAGGCATCTGAATTGGCAAAGAAGAAGTCAAACTCTCACTCTTCACAGATGACATGATACTCCATGTAGAAAACCCAGAAGACTCCACCAAAAAATTGCTAGAACTGATACGGGAATTCAGCAAAGTCACAGTATATAAAATCAATGCACAGAAGTCTGTTGCATTTCTATATACTAATAATGAAGCAGCAGAAAGAGAAATCAAGGAATCAGTCCCATTTACAATTGCACCAAAAACCATAAGATACCTAGGAATAAATCTAACCAAAGAGGTAAAAGATCTGTACTCTGAAAACCATAGAACACTTCTGAAAGAAATTGAGAAAGACACAAAGAAATGGAAAAACATCCCATGCTCATGGATTAGAGGAAGAAATATTGTTAAAATGTCTACACTACCTGGGGTGCCTAGGTGGCTCAGTTAATCCCCTGCCTTTGGCTCAGGTCATGATCCCAGGGTCCTGGGATCAAGCCCCAGGTTGGGCTCCCTGCTCAGCAGGGAGTCTGCTTCTCCTTCTGCCCCTCCCCTACCCCAGTTCATGCTCTTTCTCTCTCCCTCTCTGTGTGTCTGAAATAAAT